ATCCCCATCCCTGCATCTCCACCCTGGCATCCACGCATCCCCATCCTTGCATGCCTGCATCCCCACCCCTGCATCCTCATTCCTGCATCCCCATCCCTTCCCTGCATCCCCATCCCTGCATCTTCATCCTTGCATCCCTCCATCTCCATCCCTGCATCCCTATCCCATTCCTGCATCCCCATCCCTTCTCTGCATCTCCATCCCTGCATCTTCATCCCTCCATCTTCATCCCTGCATCTTCATCCCTCCATCTTCATCCCTGCATCTTCATCCCTCCATCTTCATCCCTGCATCTTCATCCCTCCATCTTCATCCCTGCATCTTCATCCCTGCATCCCTGCATCCCTATCCCATTCCCACATCCCCATCACTGCATCTCCACCCTGGCATCCGTGCATCACCATCCTTGCATGCCTGCATCCCCTCCCTGCATCCTCATTCCTGCATCCCCATCCCTGTATCTCCATCCCTGCATACTTGCATCCCCTCTTTCCATCCCTGCCTCCCTGTATCCCTCCCTGTATCCCATCCCTGCATCCCATCCCTGCATCCCTCCACCCCATCCCATCCCTGCATCCCCATCCCATCCCTGCATCCCTGTCTCATCCCTGTATCCCCTCATCCCCATCCCATCCCCGTGTCCCCATCCCCGCATCCCCATCTTCATCCCTGCATCTTCATCCCTGCATCTTCATCCCTGCATCTTCATCCCTGCATCCCTGCATCCCTATCCCTGTATTCCTGTCCCTGTATCCCTATCCCATCTCTGCTGTATCCCCATCCCATGCCTGCATCCCCATCCCATCCCCTCATCCCTGTATCCCCATCCCATCCTTGTGTCCCCATCCCCACATCCCCATTCCTGCATCCCTATCCCCATCCCTGCATCCCCATCCCCTCATCCCCATCCCTGTTATCCCTATCCCATCCCCGCATCCCCATCCCTGTTATCCCTATCCCATCCCTGCATCTTCATCCCCGCATCCCTGCATCCCCATCCCCGCATCCCCATCCCC